ATCTAAGCTCATCTAAGCAAGGTTACAAAGTGTTTCATACAAAAATCCATGGCAAAATGAGGAATGAATTATAATAAAAGGTATTTAGTTCAGTTCAATTTTAAGAGCCAAATCTTAACAAAAAAAAGATCAAGACCTTGAGTTTATGGAGAGACCCAACAGTTTCCACAATGAGCAGCACTTTGGCGACTTTGGAGAGAAACAACTCCCTCATTAACTACAGGAAACCTCTAACAGAACACATCAGATGCACCGGTGCGCCTAACTTTTTCAATTAGGTGCAGCAGCACATACTTTAGGTGCACCCAAGATTTTTCACTGCACCTTTTGGCACTGCAATAATACACCTACTATATCTTTTCTTGAGACTTCCCACATTCAGTACATTGATAATTTTTTAAACATCAGTTAAGGATATATTGATTGTACAATACCAATTTTACCCGGAGAAATCTCTAACTTGGTGAATACAAAAGTTATTGCGTTAAAGTATATTATTATCATCATTGTGAAACCTTTTAAACCACTGATGACAATATTATAGCATAATCATGCCAGATCTTTCAAAGAGCAATGAACTTCAGTAAAGCAGAGAGCAACCTAAATGTGGGGCGCACTTCAGTTAAAGTTTAATTGAGGTTAGTCACAGGGCTTCTTGGGTTCGCGGCCCAAGTCTCAGTTAACACGCACTCTGTGTCTGACAACTGCACCTACATGTTAAAAGGCACATGCTGTAAAACAAAATAAAGAGGACAATCAGCTGCATGACATGAATGACAACATTACTCACTCCTCGGCCTTCTAGCTCCATCTTCGTGGTTGCCCATGTTTCTTCTCTCTGGGTGTAAAGCAGCATGTCGTCGTAGCTCTCTAGGAAGCCTTTAGGACTCTGAGTTAAGATGAAAAAAACACAGAAACAAAACCGTAATTAGTATAAGCCATACAAACATGTCCACAGAGGCAGACCTGTAACCTGTTTATTTAAATAGTACAAGTTATTCATTGAGGATCCTAATGTAGTAATTTACCTTTTTTGCCTTCACCATTAACCCTGTAATCATCTGCTTCCCTGTCTCCATAAAAAATGTGCGATGAGTTTCATCCAACAACAGCACCTGGAAGGAAAAAGCATTATCGGGTCATTTCTGTGACTAATCGATTTGGTTTATACATTAAGCATCTGATTGCATCACAGTGCCGACTTCTTGTCAAGCCTAGAGAACAAAGTGTAGTGTTGTAAAGCTGCAGCTGATGACTTTAAATATGCATTAAACTCGATTTCAGCTCCACTATCTCATATGTAAAACAGTGCTGTATAGACAAAGACCCACAGTATCATCCATTTTTTAAATGGAACACCATGAGTCACCTGCTCTCTAAATGTGTGAGCAAAGAAACCTGACTCACTGCCTGCAGGTACAACAACTGCACCTGCATAGAGATGGCATTTTTACAAACTCAGGTTTGATGGAGTGTGCAAGGTTTCTCCTGGTGTATCGCTACATGCAATGTGTGAGATACAGAAACAGAGAGAAAGAGAAATCTTTGATGAGCGGCTTAAACCTTAATTCATGAAACTGACCTGGAATGCTTGTCTCACACAGTGAAGTTTGGCAAGGAAATCTTGATCACCATAACATTCAAGTAATTCAGTCCTGGTGAAAAACAAAAGGTATGAACAGTGTGTAAGATTTAGGAGAAAGGGATCTATTGGCACAAATTGAATATAAAATAATTCTCATGATGTTTTCACTGGTGTGATTCATCATGAATTGTTGTTTTCTTTACCCTAGAAGAGGCCATTTAAATTGAAAAACTTTATATTTACATTGAGGACCCCCCTCTCTATGGAGGCCGCCATGTTTTTAACTATAGTCCAAACTGGACAAGCTAAACACCTTTTCAGTTTTTATGACAACTGATGTCTACCACAGGTTCTCTTACATGTTTGGAGGGGGAGGGTGAGGGGTATTCAGCAGCAACATGCAATTTCACTACTAGATGCCACTGAATTCTACACACTGTACCTTGAAGTGAACAGCGAATCCTAATACTTACTCTGACTTTAGCTCTGTGACACAACTGTTTTATTGGCCACTAAATGCTCCACATTGTTCAGCAGCTAGATGCACATTTGGACCTATTTAGACCTGGTTTTCACATCCATCCAGAGAGATCTGATCACAAGTGTGATAGGTTCTTCTGTTCACATTTGACTTTAGTCTCATGAGTCTCTTGTGAACACTTCAGATAGGTTCTCACTTCCCCATTCTACAGTATATGCAAATAAACACATGCCATTTCAGTTTGAGAAGACCAAGGGATGTGTTTTTTCTGATTATACAGATGTGTCTGTTGTCAACGTGTTTGGGTGTGTCAGTATGAAAGAATTAAATATATGTAAAACAGGGGAGACAAATCTGCAGTGTGGTTTCCTAAATTTGACGTGTAAGTGTGACCATGCCCTAATTATGAAACTACAGTGAGGTCAGAGGTCGTCAGCTGAGTCTGCGGTCCTACAGGCTGGCACACAATTCACACAATGAAAAAGAATGTGGCCACATGTGTCCCAGACCACATCTGCATGTTGACTGAGTGATCAGATCTCAAATGCGTCCTCAATGCGTCTTGAATGCATTCACACCTTAAGTTAGCACTGCCCACTTGTGATCGGATCACTGAGAACGGATGTTAACAACAGGCTGAGATTACATGATGATGTGTCACTAACAGTGATTCTTTAGACATTACACAGTCATTTTATACATGCAGCTTATGGTATTACGAGGGTAGGGGTGTTGAACTTCAGTTACCTCAGGGACCTATATGACACCTTTCCCTCTCGCACCAGAGACAAGGCTTCTTCATAGAGAGCTGAGGGCTTCAGAGGCTGGTAGACCTCTTCCAGAGACATGGCATCAAAGAGCTGGCCAGGGAAAAGAACATCACACATACAGTACATCAGTGCACAGTTCATATATGTTTTATAGTAGACACGTTCTGATCTGTGACTAAAGGCCTTTGCACATTTGGCTGTTTTCTTTACTGCGATTGATCTGGATATAACTGATATTTTTGTATATGTATCGAACCAGTCCCATATTCATTTCTGTCTGTGAAATTCGATAGTTAATGTGCAATCCATTTCACTGTTTTCACATTTGGGATGCAATTTCATGAAGCAATATAGCAGCTTTTATTTTTTTCGAACCAAAGAAGATTTGTTTGTGTGTTGTTGACAATATTAGATTTTGAAGCAGCAGCAGTAGTAGTAGTAGTAGTAGTAGTAGTAGTAGTAGTAAAAGAACAAATTCCTCATCTATCCAGTCTGAGATAAAGTTTATTTGTCAATTTATTTAGTACATTTGTGTTGCTCACAGTTGTTTTTGTCATTAAAAACATAGGATGTAGCTAACTTGAATCTGTAGGATCAAGCAGCAGGTGACCCAACTCCTGTCGAAGAAAATTAATGAACCAAATGCACCTGCTGCGACAGTTTACAAAAATACAGGACCTTCGTCAAATTAACACTCAAGAAAAAACTATGATCTACCATGGTGCCATGTTTCATTAATGTGGACAGTCAGGCCCGTAGAAATTCACCTCAGACTAATTTGTGTCACCATTGATGTGCAAAGCTCTTAAAGAGTGTATTTAAAATGTCTACCTGATACAAACGTGAACAGGGGACTTATGGGAAACTTACCTCTGCGGCTGAGAAGAAGGAGTCCTCGGAGGTAACAGTAGTGGCATCATCATCTTGCAGTCTTCGGAAATTCTCTACTTGATGCAAGATAAGAGTTCCTTCACTCTCTGTCAAAGGAAAATCACAAACTGACTCTCAGCACAGGAATCAAAACAGAGATGATATTAATTCACTTTAAAAACATGGATCACAAAGCTGTATGTGATATGAAACTGTATCAGTCCAACTCCTCACTGATTACGTTCAAAATCTAATTCGCTCTCCGTAGTTATTTCCATCTGTTTCAGATCAGATGTGGTCATTCTCCACTCTCTTTGAAGATCATAAATAAGTTGAACATCACTCTCACCAAAGTCTGCCAGCACGCTGTCTGTAGGGATACTGCTGCCAAAATCCTCCTGTAGGTGGTACGCCTTGTGCAGTAGAGTCTCTAACTTGTCAGCAAACACTTTATTACGGGCTTCAGCCTAAAATCAAGAGGAAACGTATTTAACAGGCCATATATACTTAAATATTATGTTATAAGGTTCAATTTAATACTGCATTGGTGCTGTGTGATCTATGACCAAGTCAAATCTGTAGTCTGCACTGATGACGATTTTGTGACAGTTACCATGGGAAAGTCTCCACACGCTGCCCCCTGCAGAGCGAGGCTATTGTTGCTGGAGGTTGAGTCGGTGTGATGGCGAATATTCAGGGCTTGTTCCCACTTTCTCAGAGCTTCCTCAAAAAGCTCCATTCCTGGCAGGACATGAACACAGAGGCTTACATGTATTGTTTATATCAGAGACACAAAGCCAAAACTATGGGATATGAGTGGCACAGAACTTCATTGTTTGTAGTTCTGGAGCAATCGCTGCCCAGCAGCATTTTGGGTCCAAGAGTCCAACAACTGACAGATTATATCCAGACCTCCTTAACACTGCTTTTATATAATGTGGGAAACAACTGCAATGTGAATAACCCCCTATTTATTCAGCAATGCAGGTTATTAAATTAAGTTATCTGATTATTTACTGCTGTAACCAAAACCAATTTGGTTTTACAATCCATAACAATAAAATAAAAGTTGAGCTCATGTTTCAGTCCTGGACATTATATTTTTAGCAAATAGATGTTTGATGGCATCTCCTTCATATTTTACACACAGCCTATATGTCCAATTTCTTAAGAAAGAACCCTGAGTGATAAGAAATACCTACCAATTAAATATAGATTCTCTGCATTCGCATCCTCTAGTGCCACTGTCTCTTCTGCCACAGGTTCTGCCTCCCAGGGTGTGGATGGATTGGCAGACGGATTTGGGGAGCTTGGGACCCGCATCTGTGCCAAAAAATAATAATTAACTTGAAAGATGAATAAGAAAACAAATAAAGGGGTAATGAGGGAAAAGAAGAGTTAGCATGACAGAAATGAAAAACTAAGCATGAAACTAACTGATGCAAGGCTGTGTGAGGAACTCGAGTGTTTACTGGGAGCCAGGGAAGAAATTCCACTCATGGTGTCATTGCTCCTGGTGCTCGGACTCATCATTTGACGACTGGTAAACGGACCTGTACAGGAAACATTGAGCATTCTCTTATCTGGATATATATAAGTAGATGCTGACAAACACTACAAACAGTCATATTTCAAGATTTACAAATAAAGACATGCACACCTCTCTTTAATGAAGAGGGTCTCCCTGTCTTCATCAGTGCTTCAGGTATTCCCACTGTCTTCTGGCCCTCCTTCCGTTGTGTTCCTTGCTTCCTTTTTCTGCCTCGCCTCTTGAGTTGATGAGCAGTGAGAGCCAGAGCAACACTGCCTAGTGCTGTGGCAAAGAGCACCTTCTTCAAGTTTGGTGTAAGTTTTAGCTGAGAAAATATGGACTGAAAGCAGGAAAGACAAACATGAAATGTCATCACCGGGTCCTCTTAAACATTTTCTTCAGACGATGCTTTTGTGTAAACATGCAAAACTCTGCTGCAAATGCAAAGCATATTACCTGACCAAATGTGGAATAGAGAAAGACTGGTATCTCCGCCACGGTCATGGCCAAAGCCTGGGCGAGGGACATCCCTTCTGCTTGTCTGACTGACATCTCAGAGAAATTGAAATGCCTTCAGGCCAGGGTTCTCCGAAGCTCCCTCACATTCACCCGCAACAAGGTTTTTCTCTCCGCTCTGGGACCAGCCAGCTCAGGGCCTGCTGATGAACCGTCTGTCTTCATTCACTCCTGAACTTGTACTCCACAGTGACTGTAGTTTAATCACCTGCAATAAATGGAAAATGGAAATAATAATTATAATGAAACAAACTTCCTCGCTTAAGAGCTGTAGTACTATACAAAGGTTTGCAAATGATCAAGATATGGTATCCATAGACATCCCTGTCCATTTGTTGGTTTGTATGTTTGTTAGCAGATTACACTGCTGAATGGACTACCCATTCAATTATGGTGCAGATCCAGATGCGATACTGACTCCAATAGAAGAGAAGAGTATTCTATACCTCACCGACAGACAATATATTGGACTTTTCTTATATTGATGTTGATGACAAGTATATTACGAACGTTATTCATATTGATTCATTACCCTGCAGAATGAACTTGTTAGAGTTTGGTGTGTTAAGCTCGGGAGCTCCAGCTCACATTGACTGTTAAGCAGCAGATCAACTTGTCGTGATGCCAGTTCACCTCTACACGGTCTGGTATGTGCTCCCTCACACCTACAGTACATGACACAAGAAGGTGCGGCTACAACGTGACAGGATTTTCAATTCTATCTGTTTAATTCATTAATCATTCACACAAATACAAATGAGCAACCATTCCCAGCCTGCCAGTGCAAATGATCAATGATTAAAAGGGTGCTAGTTGAACTGAGAATTGTCTAGAAGGGAGATAGCATGCTAGCCAGTTAGTCAGAGGCCTCGAATCAGCCCTGACACCACTTTTTAAACGTTTACACATACTGAACAGTGGCTCTGAGCTCAGCTGTTCTAATGTTTAGTTAATCACCAGCAGAAATGAGCAGAAACAAGCAGACAACAGTCCCAACAGGCGGCTATGCTAACCTTAGCTGCAGCTAGCATAGCGCAGCCCGACCTGTCACATCACATCACAGCATCACCCGGACACAAGCAGCGGCGGAGGGTTAACCGGACACCACGGAGGCTCCGGCGGCTCTTTATCCAGTTAACCACCGGCACAACCACTAACACGAACAACCCCGCACACCGGTACGTACCGTGGACATCCGACACGACGGGGAAGGACGTTCCTGGTGTCACCGCCAGAGGAAGGAGCCGCGCACAAGGGTTTTCCGCGGGGGCGGGACTTTGGAGTCGTAGGAAAACTGACAATGCCCCGAACCAATCAGGTCCAACGAACAGTGGGTTTAATTATTTCTCGACCAATCAGTTAAAAGGTAGGCGGGATGAATGCTTTAAAAATCCAATCAGGTTGTAGATCATAGAGCAGAAATCAGAAAGTAAAAGCTGTCCTGAAAAGTTTCCTGACTTTATTATTACTATAAATACTCCTACTAAGTAGTAGTATTGTTACTATATTATTATTTCTAAATTATTAGTATTAGTAGTATTTGGGGCCCATGCACAAACAGTGCAAGGACCATATTGAAATGCTTTGGATTATTATAATTATTACTATTCTCCGATTGTAAAGTAGTCATTAAAATAACACGAAAGACAAACTGATAATTTTGTTTTAATAATGGTTTCATAAAAAATACGTGAGCACAACCTTTACGAATAAGTAGTCTTTTAAATAGTAATTCTTTGAATTCTTCGCGTGATTTAAAGCTATTTTAACAAGTGGCACTTGAAGTAAACATTACATTTTATCATTTGATAAATTAGTTTGTATCTTAAAGGCAAAATAACTTTTACATTAAATATGTGCTAGAATAATAGACTGTATATAACGAGACTAGAATAAGCAGAAACATCTCTTCCTGTTTTAGCCATTCACCTTTCAGGATAAAATGACGACAAGGTAACTTCCTACGTGCTCATGTTATTACCACGTAATGTCGTCGTATTGACTAACCCAGACGACACCTTTGTTGTGAAAGTCACACCGGAAGTGATGTTTGTATGGAGCAGTGTGGAGCCAGGGCCTAGAAATTGAGAAGCGACCACAGTGTGTCAACAACACAGGGAACAATAGAGAAGTGAAGCGAACTCCGATACGAGTGAATTCACACATGTTCCTGTCGTAGATGAGACGAGACTTCACGGGGATGAAGATCGGCGGACACGAAACGGATCCTGGATATGTGAGCTCTCGCTAGAACTGAGGAGGGGATCCATGAAAAATATGCGAATAGTGTTGCTGATGAATGGTTCCTGGCCGCAGGGCTGGTCTGTGTCACCGCCTCTGCCTCAGGTGAACCGGCTGCTGAGAGCATGAGTGCCGCATGGCTCTCTGCAGCGGGGCCTCTCCCAAGGGTCTCGGTATGAAGCCCCCGGTGAGCAAGAGCAGGATATCTAATGCAAAGCGTGCGGTCATGTGTGAACTGTTCAGGGCATGAACGGATGTACGCACTCTGACAATGAACTTTCCGTCTCACAGATGCTGCTATGGCTGTTGCTGCTCAGCCTGAGCCTCTCCCTGTTGTTTTGGTTTGCGCATGTGATCAGACGGGAGGGTTCGTCGCCTGTTCTGCCAAGCAGCGGGCTCAGGGGCTACGTGAGGATCAGCCCCGGCAGCAAGGAGCAGGTGAGGAGCAGAGGTCCAGGATGGTTGTAGAAGTTGCAAATATGTAATGGTAAAGGGACAGTATTTAAACAGTGCTTTTCCAATCCTATCAACCACTCTAAGTACACTCCAAGTCACATTCATGCATTTATGCACACATTCATATGTTGCCCCTGTATGCAGCACATCACACAACATTCATACGCTGTCAGCACAGCTCAGAGGCTATTCGGGGTTTGTATCTTGCATGAAGGAACTTTGGAATGGGGGAACCGGTAATCGAACCACCATCAACCCTCCGGTGTACGACCCTCTCTCCCTCCTGAGCCACAGTGGCTCAATGTGCACTTAGGCAATTGGATGTATGTGACAGAACAGGCTACTTCAGTTGCATGTTCAACTCCTGAGGATACCATGACCTGAATGACTGAGGATCTTCAGAGATATAATCATATATTGGTTGAATCCATAAAATGTATCTACCTATTCTAAAAAATCTAGGGCCCAAGGAGGTGCAGCATCAAACTTGGTGCAATTCACACTTTAGTGTAAATGGTAGATTTTTGTTTGTTGTCTTTGTTTTATGGGTTTTTTGTATCCCCTCTCTGTCAACAGTTTCTGGACAAGCACTGCAACCAGTGTGCCTTGGTCTCCAGCTCAGGTCAGATGCTCAGAGCTGGCATTGGTGACGAGATCGACAACTTCGACTGCGTCATCCGCATGAACAATGCACCCACGGAGGGGTATGAGAGGGACGTGGGCAGCCGCACCAATGTTCGGGTTGTGTCCCACACCAGCGTTCCCCTGTTGGTGAAAAATGAAAGCTACTACTTCCAGCAGTCAGCGGACACCACATACGTGTTCTGGGGTCCTGACAGGAACATGAGGCAGGACGGGAAAGGACGCATCTTCAACACTCTCCTGAAAATAGCAAAGAAGTACCCGGATGTGAAGATCTACACTGTGACCAGGGAGAGGATTCAGTACTGTGACAGTGTGTTTCAGAACGAAACTGGAAAAAACAGGTAGTGTTTTACTTCATGTAACATGACAATACATTAAGGGAAGTGATTATATTGTTTTTCATGAACTTCAGTAAAACAACATATGTTTGAATTACTCTTTTATTAAATAACAAATGATGTCAAAGAGAATGTCCCCAGGCCAGGAGTTGAACCAGGGACGTTATGGTTATGTGATATGAACTTTAAACCTAATGTCCCATTACTGTTTACTTTGACCATTAACTCCCTTTTTATCAGCATTTTAACAACCCTTCAAAATAAGACACCCCCATGTTACAGGAAATGCTAAAAAGCCATACAACACAACATACTTACAATGCAAACTTTTCACATTTTGGATTTTTCTGTCAGTGGACAAATCTTTTAGCCTCAGCTTTTGAATATGTTTTCTTAAGAGCAGATGTTTGGTGTCTCTCACTCAGAATGAAGACAGGGGCATTTCTCAGCACTGGATTTTTCACAATGATCCTGGCTATCGACATGTGTGACAGAATCCATGTGTACGGGATGATCGATGATAACTACTGCAGGTGAGACATTTCAAATGATGCTGTGAGGCTCCGCCCTTTGTACAATTTAATGTTTTGATATGAACGTCACCTACTTCTTCCTCCTGACAGCCGGGCCAATCACAGCGTTGTTCCCTACCACTACTACGAGCAAAACCGAATCAACGAGTGCAGGATGTACAAAGTGCACGAGCACACGCAACGCGGGGGTCATCGCTTCATCACTGAGAAGGCCATCTACGCCCGATGGGCCACGCGCCATAAAATCAAGTTTAAACACCCCTCCTGGAGTCTCCGAAGGAAGAGGCGATAGTCCGCAGATGTTCCTCGACTGTACTGTGAAGTTCACTTTTGCTGGACTCTGATGTTCTTCTAAATATTTGCTTGAAAAGAACTGGATCATGTGCAAATTTGTTGGAGATGGACTCCGACTTTCACTTGAGATTAGACTGTTTTTCAATCCACTATGAGTCATTTGATCCTGGAGCAGAGTGGAAAAAACATTTTATTTCTATGCCAGTGATGATTTTGATGTACCACCCTCAGTATTACTTAATAGTCCCATCATGTAAAACCATATTTCAGTATTCTGATATAAGCCACTCAGAGCAGTTTATACCAAAGCTTATACTTAAATTTCTTCATGCCTGTGCCTTGACACTCAGTCTCATTTTAGTCTGCAATCTGGCCCTTTGTCGTTTTAAACCACAGAATGCACCTTATGCATATTGCTGGAACTGATAAATACTTTCATAAGTGCTCAATCTGGTCTTTATTTTCCTAAGAGATTTGTCTTTTTGCAATTTAAAAAAATTACTCCAAATAACGGTTCTGGTTATTTTTCTGTCTGACTACTTGTTCCGGCTCCAGTATTGTTTCTCCTGCTCTCCTCCCTGACATTGGGGCCATACTTCGCCTCACAACTTGACAAATACTCTGCATGGTCTGCCTGCCTCAGAGTCAACTTCAAACTAAACTAAACCATTTTCAAAAAGAAAAAAAGTTTTCAAAGTTTCAGCTGTTACATGTGGCACATTTCATGAGCTACTGTGATTTGATTTGTCTGTCAATATTTTCAATGCTTTGGGCAAGGGCCTTAACTGTTGGTGCTCATAACCAAACAGGATACAAGGTTCTTGCTGTTTCTTTATTCATAATCGAGTACATACTATTGAGCTTGAAGCTTTTTACTTGCCCTCACAACAACCAATTTAAATGCTGCAAAAACGTGTTATTGTTAGTTTGATTTTTAAATTAATCTAAACACGGGGTTACGTTGATGTGAACATTGATGTGTACATAATGTCCTGAGTGCCATTTAACCCACACTGTTACCATGCAGTTTGCAGATGTTTCATGTGGCATCGGTGGTGTAACCTTCTCAAACTGTAGATGGCACATCCACTGTCCATCACTTTGTTTTCAGCACCGACAACTACGTTAAAGTTGCTAACCCTTAGTATTCTGCTGCCTGTTTACAATGAAAACTCTAGTGCTGCCTTTTCAGTTACATTATGCTTTTATTTTGTGACTAATTCCAAAGACTCATTTGCACTACTGCCCAAACTACTGTGTGATAGTGTTTTACTGTACTTCAAACATGCACTGTTTGAAAAGTGTATGATGAATGACTTTTTAGGAAGCATACTTATATGTAGTGAGTTGGGCAAAGTACAACCTTGAATGTAAACTCGACCACTAAGATCAGTGTCAACATGAATAAATTACCTGTCAAACAGAGTCTGCCTGTGTGTGTGAGAGCCTTACAGTTTTAAGACGAAATAGTTTCAGGTCATATTCAATTCAATTCAATTTTATTTATATAGCGCCAATTCATAATTTACATTATCTCAAGGCACTTTACATTTAAAGGTCAAGACCAATATTAACGTAGAGAAACCCAACAGTTCCCACAATGAGCAAGCACAGGCGACTGTGGAGAGGAAAAACTCCCTCATTAACAGGGAGAAACCTCTGGCAGAACCAGGCTCAATGTGGGCGGTCATCTGCCTCGACCGGTTGGGGTGAGGAAAGAAAAGTAAGGGAGGAGGAAAGGAGAGATGGGTGGAAAGCAGGGGAGAGAAGAGAGAGATGAGGTGGAGAGAGAGAGACCGAGACAAATTGGGCACCATCAGTATCAGGGCTGACTATAACAATAACAATGTAGTGATCTACAACAGGATTATATATATTATGCTCTTTTGTTTAAAATTTGCCCAACCTTAACATAACCACATTTCACAATTTACCACTGACATTAACCATGACCAATTCAAACCTACCCCTAACTTTAATCTAACCACATTTCACATCTTTTGCATGGCATTCTGCAACCGCCAGTATTCACTGCATTCCACTGTCTCTGTTATTTGTATTTATATTTTATATTTTATACTTAACGTTTACTGTTTACGGTTTTTGCAAACAATAGTATACATTTTATATTTTATACCTTTTCTCCTTATACTTCTTTGAATATTTTTCTAATATTTTCTTATATTGAGACTTGTTTTTTTATTCAGTGTTTACTGTTTTTTGCTTAAATCTTTGTTGATGGGGAGACCGAGAGTCTGCGAAATTTCAATTCCTCAATATGTCTGTGTATGTATTGCAGAAATTGACAGTAAAGCTGACTTTGACTTTAGACATATTTATTCATTTATTTATTACCCTTTTGAAGATTTTATCAACATGTGACACAGCACCTTCACCTTCCAATCTAACCTGAACCATAACCCTTTTAGTCCTTAACTTAACCTGATCATAATTCACATGTCTCCTTGTGCAGGAGCTCAGACGTGTAGTTCAGCCTCAGTCAGAACCAGACTGGTCGAATGGTCCTGATATATATACTGTGTTAATACTGAAGGAAAATGGATTAATGAAACATCATGACCTGTGACAATCTCACACACACACACACACACCCACATGCAAATGCGTCGTAGTGATAAGTGCGATGATGACGTCACGTCAGTGGTGCATGAAGACGAGGGACGTGAGGAGGAGGAGGAGGAGGAGAAGGAGGAGGAGACACCGCAAAGGCCCATAAACACTGAAGCTCCGGATGATCGCTGCTCTCTCTCACCTCCTCACTTTGACATGGAATCACATTTGACACGTTAATCTGATCAGCGGGGGGGTGTTGTTTTATAAAGAACTGGCGGTAAAGGTACGTGAATACCCGGTGGCGTAAGTGCTGCGTGTGTTTTTGTGTGTGTGCACGTTCTCCTCTTGTTGTGGTCGATGTTTGGTTATTGAAAAATGTGTCGGGGATCTAACACTGTATTTAACGTTTGTATTGTGTTTAGATTGTGAATAACAACATGTGATGTATTCAAATATCGATCTAAAGCTGCTTGGTTACATGTAGAAGGACGTAAACCTTGAATATGCTGTTCTACTGTGCGTAACATGAGATGAAACAGTGGCAGATCGGCTGGGTAACAGTGCATTGTGTGTGTGTGTGTGTGTGTGTGTGTGTGTGTGTGTGTGTGGCAGGTATGATGACAGACAGACACACACTGATCAGAAAGCATGGGGCTCAGGCTCAGTGGAAAGGTAAGACCATGAACACCCATAACATCAGGAGGGTGTGGCACTCAGGGACCTCTAACCCTTCCTCTTCACCATCAGCACCGTTATTAGTAGTATTACTGGTTCTTAAACACATTACATACATGCAGTATTGTCATTGTTATCATTGTTTACCAGTGGGTTGAACAAGTAGTCAGACCCTACTTTATCTACTCACATAATACTGTATATTATTGTATTGTATTCATTTTCTGTCGTACATAGGTCTTGGAATTTTCATTTATTATGCTCTTAATGTTGAAACCTGCAGAAATGATTGATGATG